TATGTTAGTCAAAGTTAGTTGTTGCGCTGCATACAACTGTTGCTGACTGTTAACAATATTTGAAGCTATACTAACCATCTTAATATCGCTTGCTAACATTCTTCAGTTGATATTTCTTTAATTCAGTTCTTAAAATTTGATTGGGTTACTTATTATAAACACACTATATAGTTTCTCACTGATAAAAGTATTTAATAGATGTTGTTCAAAATACCTTCTTCTTGGGTGTTAAAAAATATTACGAACATAATACATGGTTTGGAGTCACCAACTAAACACGTTATTTAATTTTTTATTAATGTTTTCTAGTTATTTTTGCATTCCAGTTAGTTAATTTCTTTCTTCTTAGGCTTCAGTTGTTTATTTATTTTTTTTAAGAATTTATTTTCAATTTCTTAATGCGCTAGTTTAGTTTAATTGAAGCCTATTTTGAGTTGTTGTTCACTTGTACTCTTTTACTTAAATTGGGGAATGCGGCAAGGAACGAAAATTTCACTTAACAACTTTACGCCGCTTTATATGGGAATTATTGCATATCTGCAAATTATATATAAAGGAATTAATATATGATTATATATGCTGACTTTAATTTAAATGGTAATATATTATATCATAAAAAATATACAAAAAATTACAATAAATAAGTATAAAATTAAATATAAATATATATACAAAAAAAAAATAAAATTTGATTATTGTATATAAGTGTTAGAATAATGCCCCTGTTGGACAGAGACAACACTATTCAACAGGTAAGTCTTTTTTTTATATTATTTGGAACTACTTTAACCCATGAGTATTCGATAACTAAAGTTTCTTTTGTCTTTTTTATAACCCGAGGGGACTTGTATAATTGAATTGTAGTAGGTAAAGAGTGAAGTTGCGTGGGATAGAAAGGAATCACAGTTTAGGTGGATGCTAAGGAGTCTGAATTCTAAAGTCGATATTTAAGAAACTAGAACCAGTATAAACAAACATAATGATAATATTAGTCTTATAGATATATATATTACTAAAGTTTTTTTTACTAACGTATATAAACTTATAAACCTAAGCTGTTAGTTATAACTTCATAGTATTGTGAAACAAAATGAATCCACACTTTTTCAACTGGACATTTTAATTCTAAACAGTTATTGCTTTTATTGAATAAAGTGAGGTCTTCTTTTTATGTTAGTGTTAATAATGTTAGTAATTGAATACATATTTTTAACCCATTTTGGATCACCGTGTGGTACACCACATGACTAGTTTTTAATATTTTTTAATATTTAAAGAATACTTTATTTTTTTTAGGTAAAAAGAAAATGAGAATAATCTTTAAAATAAATATTAAACTTATCTCATATATTTAAAATTGTTTTATTTTACTATTTACTATAGAAATTTCACCGTAAAATTTCAACTCTGAAATTGCCTGGTACTTAATAGGTTAATGAAACCCATATTTTTTCGAAACAGATTTGAACTTATAATGAAGTTGAAGAATTAATAAAATTGTAAATCGTGAATTACTCGTTTTTTGAGACACTAAATCATAGATTTTGAGATAGTTATAGGTGCCTTTCCTTATGGCTGCATGGCTAGGTATATATGATACACGATTTTAAATATACTATTTATTGTGTTTAGTTAGTGTTAATTGTAAATGTGGGATTGTAATAATCGTGTGAGAAACAACTTAACAATTGTGTCTATGTTTATGTGGAATTATGAGGCGCTAATGGGAGGTATTTTTCATACCGCACTGATTGTAGAAACTTGATCTCAACTACGTCATAGCGTAAGATGACTAAAGCCAATTAAAAATGAAAATAATAATACCAAATGTGTAAAGGAAAAGCAAAAGAAGTGGCAGTCCATTAGAAGTGGCGGGAAGTCCCCACTGTTCTATAATTCGTTATGTAATCAAATTTTTTAAAGATTTGACTTAGAGCTATATCAAATTTAATTTAATTTAAGAAAATTTTATATAAATCAAAAGACACATGAAAGCAAATTGAAGGACTGCAATTAAATCCAAATAAATATAATATTCTTTATTTATCCAATAAACATTTCGTTCTAAAATATATATTCTTACCTTAGCTAATTCTCATAGTATGTAATAAATAACAGGATATAATACAATAATTTCGAAGGCGTTCACACACAATACCAGAATAAAACAAATTGTACGTCGTAGCCAGGATTAGTACAATCGAAATATAATTTTAATATATAACTCAAAAACAAAAAAAAACTTAAATTTGAAGGAAAAAATTAAATTTATTGGTAAAGGAGCATTTGATTGTAAAATTTTTTAAATTTACAACTTGAGTACGTGTGTACACATATACAGATATGTACATACATAGCATATATAATTCAAATTGTTTCTTTAATGTTTTTATTTTTTAATTTTATACATTAAACTAATTTATTTATATAGTTTATTTTGAGTGTAATAAGAATATAAGACTCCATATCCTTATATATGATTTTTATATTTATACTACGATATAATTAGTTTTGTTTCACATTAAATTAAAACAATACGTTGAGTTATTGTTTGAAAATAATAAAAAAATATTTGAAGATCAATTAACAAAAGGTTTTAATAATATATTCCGTTACAAATTTAAATAAAACAAAAAGCCATCTCTCCCACACACAGATGCGACAATGTATTTTCAACAAAATACAAAATGTTAAGTGACATATGGTATTCTGAAGTTGTTGTTGGCACATGAAACTTGGCAACACTGCGCAACCATTTTCACTTCATGGCGCAACAAAGCCGCCATCTTTTCGATATTTTACGGTTATTTAAAATTTATATTTCACAATTATAAAAAAAAAATAAATCTATATTATGTTGTTGATATTACAAACCTGTTTATATTTAATAAATTTTATTTTAATAAAACACATTTAAATATTATAAACTAGTTTGTTCTGTTCATTTTTATATGGAGACTTTTTAGTGAAATTGCACAATAAAAATAATTTAATATATCAAACGTTTGTTTTACGCCACACACACACAAAAACAAAATACATTTTCACAAAATAACTGCATTTAACTTCTTTTAATAGAAACACTCATATTTTTAAATAATATTTTAATAATCCAAACATGCTTGCACCACTAAATATTGTTTTCATTTTTAAATAATAAATTCTATTAATTACACCATCCAAACAAAAAAAAATTCACACAAAGCTAAACACACGCATCCTCCACGACAATACAATCGCGTCTGATCGATACTCTTTGCCCACTACAATTTCAAACTTCTTTTATTTCGATAGAGAAAGGGAGACCAATAGTTATCTTATAAGAAAGTAATTAAAAAGTGTAGGAAACAAAAACAAAACAGGAACAAAAACGGCGGCAATAACAACATTTTTGAATTGCTTCTTACATGGAATCTTGCGGCACCTCTAACGGTGTTCATTCCAATAATATAACATGACAAGTGCAAATTTTTTATAACTAAATTAAAATTAATATATAATTTAACTTACTTTTAATTCGCCTGTATTATTTTTGAATGTGTGATTTCGCAAATTATTTTCTTTTAATTTAGCCGATTTTCTATATTCTATATTTAATTTTCAATGTTCAAATTACTGTATAAACTAAACAGCGCTTATTTCATATATATATATTTTTCTCATTCACAACATAAAAGAAAAAAATATTCCTTTATATTATTTGCAGTTCAAAGCAATTTATAACAAATAAAAATCAACAAAATGCAATTTCCCGTCCTAAATCAATTGCTGATCATATTACTTTCACTGTACTCGGCTTAGTGCGAATTATGACTGATGTCTCCTTTCGCACCTATCCGACAAAGAGAAGAAAACAAACTTTTTTTTAATGCTGCCAATGAATTTGTGACAATAATTTTTTTACAAATTTAAAAATTTCAATGTTAACTATGTTGAATTAAAATATGTTGAACATATGCAGGTTAAAATATTATAAATCTTTTAGTCTTTATAAATAATAATTTTTAATATTTTATTTGTTAATTATCTGCTTGAATAAACATAATAAACATACTACCGCATATAATTTTGTAAATGTTGCTATCATTAAAAATAATTAAAAAATTACTTTTTAATTATAATAAACATTTTTTGTCCAATAAGAAGCAATTTATTTCGCAAGGAAAAGCGGTTAATAGTGAAAAATGTTCAAATCAAAAAATTTGATTTGTAATCAAGTTAATTCTTGGTCTGATCCTACAGCTGTCTGAGTGGTTTTCAGAAACATTTATTTATTTAGTTGTTAATATTTCACTACTGCAAAAACATTACCAAAAAAACATATTTTCTATTATATTCACAATAATAATAAAAATGGCCATAATTATGGATGTCACTGTATAAACAAAAATAAATAATTTTGGGAATTAAAAAAGAAATCAAAGAAATTATATATAGAAAGCCACTAGCAAAAACCTTTTTATTTTTTATAGTAAATTTTATTATCAAAACAAAATAAAGAAAATCATGAAAATTTCATTAGTATTAAGGTTAGTCACGAAAACTGGTTAAAGCCTTTTAATTTATTTTAATTTATTTACTGACTGTAAACTAAATATAAAAAAAATTTAAATTTACAAGATTGTTTAAATTTAATTCGAGCTAAGTAAAGTATTGAAATTCAGACTTTGTCGCAAAATAATAAATATTTAAACAGTTATTTTTCATACGTTTGTGTCAATAAACAAAATTTAATTGATTTTTACATTATTATTATAAGATATTTTTGTTGTTATGGTGTAACAATTTTACATTTTCACTCTGCACAGTTTGAGAAGCTGTAATGTACATTAATATATTTTTCGTAAATTTATTTTGTTTTACAACACTTGCGCCAGTCGGCATTTGACGTTTGACAATCAGCTGTTACCTTAACCTCTTGTTTTTTCATGCATTCGGACTGATTATATGTGGTTTTTTTGAAATATTAAAATTAATAAAACTTAAATGAAATTGTAATTAGTTTTCAAGAAGAAATGCTGATTTTACGCCAAAACAATAAATTGCGTGCATGCATAAATGCATCAAATAATAGATGCCTTGCTACGAAGGTGCAGCCAGCTGCACAGACCAATAACAATTCCGAATATACCGATGAACCACAATATCCAGAAATACAAGATGTTTCGTTTAAAGCACGTAAAGTTAGAGAAAAAGAAGATTGGTATAAAGAGATTGAAGAGGTACCAACTGTAGAAGAAAAGTTAATTAAAATAAATATGCCTCGTTACTATGGCTATAAGGTTTTTAAATTAACTGATGAAAAACTTCCATATAATTGCTTACCCGCTATACAACATTATACGAGAACTATTTTTGAAAGTGCCGACGAAAATATTGCACCGGAAGCACTGCAGAAAATCAATACATTTGTAGAAGCTGCTAAGAGTGATGTTCAAGATGCGTTAGAATTTGCCCATGAGTATTACAAGTAAAAAATTTCATAATATGTACTTAGCTCTAGTTTACCTTAATATGTTTATATTTTTGTAGGCATAAATATCCTAATACTTCTAACATAGATCCACAGGTGATGGAACGCACTTTTACGCAGCTCATCGTAGAACAAATTAATAGAGTACTTATAAATACGCTTGCAGCAGATATATCCTATTTAAATGAAGTTGATGTCGATTACAATCCAAGACACGAAGCCTTTTGGTTTGTTGGTGGCATAGATCCACCAAAGAATGTAGTTAAAAGTAAAAAAGGTCACTCTTGGCAAAAGGAAATGGCAAATGATTCCGTTGATCGTCCCATTCAGTACAATGGTACACCATATCTGGCGCTAAGACATAAATATCAATTGCCTACATTTAAAAGTGATATTGATTCTGAAAATATGGAATTAGCTAAAACAATACCACGTTTTAATTATGATCCACGCACCTTAGGTTTTGTGCCTGCCTATCAACATGGTATAAATGTGCCAGGTTTGTAAAAATTTTAAAATATTTCATAAAGTTTAAAATAATCAATAATTAAATAAAATATTTCATTTAGGATTTTGGCCTGGTGCTCGTAATGGTTTTGGTTGTATATCTTATCAGTCACGTGCGGTTATGAACATAAGACCGGCATCTTTCGGCGAAGTGGATTTCAAGGAAGCTTTGCATGCACATGGTATTCAAACGAGTTATGCTTGGCTACTAGCACAAGCTAATTATAATGGCTTTAATACATTCAGTGAACTAACCTATCCCATGAATACGCAAACAATTGTAACAAATGGAAAAGATTGGTCCTTCTATGAATATCAATTGAATACTTTATTAGTACATTCTCGACACATTGATGATAATCCAAGAGTTAACTTTTGTCGC